CCTGAGCTCAATACTTTGGCCCAAGGAGACGCAATGCTCCATGGTGTCTAAATACCTAAACGTAAGCCCTTAAAAACTCACAAAGGTGAGCGCCGCCGGTGCTGTACTGACCTTGCCGATGCGGCATCCCCTATAAAGAACTAGAGTTGTACCCCTGAAGGCCCTTAAACCCTGAACACCAAACCCTGAACCGGTGGAGAAAAGGTGTGTCAAAAAAAAACCTCTAAACCACTCTAAACCCGGGTCGCTACTGGCCTTGCTGCGACAGCAGTTCTTTCGAGGAAAAAAGTCCGACAAAAAAGATACCTAGACGCTAAATTCTATAGACTCTAAACCCTCAACCTTAAACCCTAATCTCTCAGCCATATACACTCAACCCGAAACCCCAAATTCCAGTCCCTGAGAGCTTGGCTCTAGTGACGAACGGCGGGCACGGCTCGAGCAGAGGGTTTCTGAGCCTGCGTACGAACAGCAAGCTAAGCGCGTATACTTCTCCCTTACAACCCAAAGAGTCTGTGTAGCTATATAGCCTCGCCCAAAGGGTACAGCTACATGGACTCTTTGGGAAGTAGTCATCGTTGATAAGACGAGCCTAGTGATACAAGTCTAGAATCATTATACCTACACTCCTTGGCCCACTCTTCCTCCAACTGAAGCAGCAGCTGGCACTGGAGCTTCGGATCATCTTTAATCGAGTCATGGCGTCCAGCTTCAAATCCTATCTCCAAACCCGCTGCAGTTTGGTGATCTCTTCGACCTGGGTTTCCGATTTGAAGAATGCGCCATATCAAGCTTTAGGGGGAACGGATAAAGAAGATCAACCCAACCTCCACAGCATCCTGAAGCCTTGTCTTCAGAGCATTAATCCATTGCCGCTAGCAAACTGAGGAAAGTGGGCCCAATAGTCTAGGAGAAGAGATGGGGTGTCCCTAAGGGTTGGCGGGGTTCCTAAAGGGGGGGTTATATAGGGTTGTGGGCGCGAAATGTTTTTCCCATAGGTTTTGGAGTCAGGGTCAGGTCATTGTAGTAGAGCCCAACAAGGAATACAAGGAAAGGTTTGTTAATCGTGCTCAAATTAGGTTGGACTTTTTGAAACCACATCCCTACAGAATCCGTATAAGGGTTCGCTGTATGACCCCTTGTAATGGCCCTACCTGGACACTGGACGTTCTAACTTTTTGGCGAAGTACCCTAAGAATATGTGAGCTACAGTCTAAACTCCTATTATCCCCCTTGATAACCTCCATAGTAGTCGACCTTAAACCCTAAACCCTATATTTGTCCCCTAGAAAACCTCCTTTAAGGAGTTAAGACTTTCATTCATGTAGAACAGAACCCAAGAACAGATGGACATCCAGGGTCCAAGTAGACCCTGAACGCTTAGGGTATATGGCTTAGGCTGGGTTTTAGAGTTCCAGAGTGGGGCCTTTGGATCTTGCTTGCCTGAACGAAATGCCCAAGTACCTGAATGTTGGTACCAACTAGAAGAGTATTGATGTCGTCTGAAGTCTAAAGCTTAGCTTTACCCACATGTAAGACCCGTGGTAGAAGATTGAAAATCCTAGCAGATCGAATGTTATGCATATAGTTTAATCAAAGGGTTTAAGGCTCTCATTGCGCATCTGTGTCGTCGAATACGTCACTGAAAAGGCCTTGTATAGCCTGGCACGTAAATCGCTGCTTCTGATGTGCAAGCATCTGTCCTAAAACCCTTACCTGTATAGTTTGGCAAGTTCCTCGCAAACTGCAACCCTGAAATTGCCAAGCCTTCTTGCCAGGTCCTAGACTCACTATCCCCGTACATGATTTTCGCAGCATCCTGAACAAAATGCTGTAATCTGAGGACAAGTACGGATAGATAGAGATATGTGTTCATGGTAGCTTCCGTGCATATAACAGAGACCCACTATAGACACCTGCATACGAGGAGCCATGTCGTGGTACATCCAAAATTGCTCCGGGAAACGAACTATCTTACTGTCTCTCCCTCTCTGTCTCTCTCTCTCTCTCTCTATAGATGAGCCAGTACATATAATATACACAGTATATAGTGTTAAATGCCTTCATATTTTTCTTAACAGGACTTACAGGATTTGTAGGGATACATGCGGATAATTTATCCCTACTGGATAAATGTTGTTGAGGGCTTTATCCACGCTCTTGATTAAAGGCCCCTGGCCACCCTAGAATACTGTCCGAGCCCCAAAATTCTGGAGATCCGAGATCCCCCCCCAAAAATAGATCATGCAAAGTACAAGTAGTATGTTTAAGCAGAAGTAGCAAGAGCTAGAGTATGAGGCAGGAACAAGAGTTTGCTACAGAGGATGAGAAGTTGGATTCGAATTGGTGTTGGCTACCAGTTGATTTACGACAAGTTCCAATTTAATTTCAAAGGTTTCTTTACGTGATGTCATCCTAATGTTGAAAGAGATTTCAATAGGTTTTAATTATGAAAAGGGCCCGAAACCGATGACCTTGAAAGAAGCCTCTATTATTCTAGGTTTTTCCATATTTTTAAAGAAAGACCCTCTTTCGCAAGGACTGTAAGCGGTAGCTCAGGAAGCAAAGTTTGAGCCTCCAATTCTGAAAGACTTTTTAGCAAATCAGCTCTTACAAGCAATTTTTTGGCTCATAAGTGATTAAGCGAAACCTTTCTTATTTAGGATTTGAGGATTTAAGATTTGAGCTTTAGCCGTGAGAGTCAAACGGATTTCAAACCGGGTTCTTGGGGGACCACGGAATCTTCACTACATCCGTAACTTCGAAAAAATCTCTTCGACAGCAGCTATCCGAATGGTGCCTGTGACAAATCTTAAACCATATACCCTCAACCTTGAACCCTCAAGCCTAAACCACAGACCTCGAACCCTAAGCCCCGCATCCTAGGCCTTGAGCCCTCATCCCCAAGACACCCGAACCAGTACCCTTCACACTATGGTCAGACCAGAGACCCCAAGCAGCTTCTGATCGGTTCGAAAAATATCAAATGTCTGCTTCAACCAGCATTCCAACGTCACATTTTGGCTACCTAACGCTTAAAGATTTAGTAAAACGAGCTCCAACTGTCCATCTTCCATTGTATGGAAATTTGGTTTGCCAGTTCCCAGAGGTGACTCTGATGGCGTGGCTTCAAGGACTGAAGTGGGAAGGTATACCGTACCATGTGACACTACGCCCGCACGGAGGTAAAAAATGTGCCTGAGTTATTACGTAGTTGCTTACCCATGCCTTGTCGGGAGTAGGCGCATCGATTAGAAAATATTCATGGGGCCTTTCTGGGGCTCAGTATTGGGATCCATGCCCGTGTCAAAGATCTCATTGGTGAAGGTTGTGGCGGGGATGGTGGAATGTCCTGTCATGGTAAATGTTCGGCCCTGGGCAATGCAGCTTGGCAATGATGTTGCCATCAGGCACATGGACATGCGGCGTACGGGTTTCACGAACAGTGCTTGAATTGCATATGAGCTTCGATATTGACACACGTCTGACACGCGCGTGAGGATCGGAAAGCTGCTGTTGAGCCATTTGCAGAGGTAGCAATGTCACAGCCGTATGGTGGCATCCAGCGTCCCTATAAAATGGATCAGTCCTGCAAAAATGTGGATCGGGCATGCAATACACCAGGACTTCGGGATATGCCCAAAAGCTGTGAAGTTTTGGTGCGCAAAAATTCTGCAAGAGGTGGAAGACTGAACGAGCATGTGTCCGTGTGCTGATATGAGCATACAAGCCGTATTCTAAACCATTCAAGGGGGGCTATATAGGGGATTATTATCGTGGGGGGGGGTTATTAAAAGGGATACTAGGACTGTAGACTATAGCTGATGTGCTAGGGTTTGAGACCCTTGCTATTTCCAGACGCAACAATCGGTAGCCCTCTATTTATTGAAGGGAATCCATGCAATGCATGTGCTGATTTCGCTGCCCAGTGTGATGCAGCGTTTGATGTCGGCTGGACTCCCAATCATGCCAGGATGGGTCACAGAGCTCAGCTGAGAGCACTTTGTAAGAAGTCTCCAGTACTAGGGGCGTTCAGTTTCGTTGTGGTTGCGTAAGCCGGGGCCTGCAGCGCAGAAGCTTGTGGAAGCCTGCCGCGGAAGAGCTTGAGAAGCGATGAACGCGGAAGCCGCGGAAGCACCTGCTTTCACATGTAGGGCGATATTTTTGGAGCCTGATGGCACGTTGCCAGCGTGTTATTGGGGTTCAAAATTTCGCCGTGTAACCCAGAAACCCGTTGCTAATCCTTGTGTCGCACCTCTCCCTAAGTTTTGCTCTGCGGTAGCTTTCTTTCGATTTAGTATTTTGTTGAGGGCGGCACTGGACAATGCCATGGACAATGCCATAAGCATTGCAGGCACAAAAATGTGAAGGACTCCGCTACTCATTTACGTGGGCGCGTCCGCTCTGACCTTTGTTGACCCATGTAATGATGTTGCCGGTTTTCCTGATTCTCGGATGTGCAGCCCTTCGCGCAAAGCAGCAAGCTTGCCTGCGCTCGGCTCAAGGGTAGGCCCCCTTTGCTGTAGCGCAAACTTGACATGAGCCATAGCCTAAACTCGAATCAATAACCCTTATAATCATTATAATATTCTTTCATACAGCCCCCTTTAAGGAGTTTAGAATAAAGCTCAGATTGGGATTAGATAAAGTGACTGCGCTGAAAAAGCCTAACCTCATGGATGTGTGGTTCACACGATTCATCAACCATGGAGTGCGTAAAAGCAAACCCGGTTGGTCATAACATGGGACACAAACAGAACATAAAAGAACAAACATCACGATAGGCGAAGCACTCGCACGGGTCCCCTAGCCGCCATAGCTTTGTGCGGGAAGTTGTCAAGGCATGACTCGCATGTTACGCAAGCAGCAGGCAAACTCTTTTCGGAGTTGCAATGGAGAAGTATCGACAGTTTGCAGACGGAGGCCATGCGTGCCCTTGCGTGCCCTTGCGATTGTCATGACTGTCTGATGTGGGATTATGGTTGCTCAAATTATGGCAGGCACCGGCGTGAACCCATTCGTTCCGGCTTGGTCACATCACAAGGCAGCAGCTCCAATTTTCCTTGTGCTGGAAGTTCGGTGCTCTCACGCCACAGCAACGCCACCTTGCTGTTTCATCCTCAGTCGGGGCTGCTGATGCAATGCGCGAAGCTGGTCGTGGCCTCAGCTCTGCTGGGCGCGTGACAGAGCTGCAGGTCTTGCTGGTGTGACAGATCAGGTGCTTCTCCCTCTCGCAGTTTTGCGACTCTGCATGGTTGCAACAGCTTTTCTATGGCCATTAGCTCAGACTCTGCGGACTGACAGAGGGAAGCCAGATGTTAAGAAATGAACGAACTGAGGTTGGTACTCGCAGAATTGCTATGCTGGCCTCTTAGCGCCGTTCCCGTGGTGAGGCAGGGCATGTTTGCTGGGTGGTCGTGTCGAAACATGAACATGGCCATGGCACCCTTGCAATTCCATCGCTAGCTCGTATGGGTAGCCGTTCTGATGAAGCTTGTTGTGGGTCCCCAAGAGTCCAAGGCACGTTATGCTCATGAGATCATTGCGATTTCGATTCATAGGGCTACTCGCAGGCAAGTTCAGCTGTCACCTGCTCTGCCGGACACAGGCGACCCCTGCACTGGCTTTTGTCTTATGCGGGATGCAGTCTCGCACTACTTGGCCTTGGCCGGGACCACAGCTTAAGGCTTCCTGAACGTTGTGAAGGATTGATAGATTTTGCGGCAAGAAGTTGCGCGCTTGCTCCCGGCTTCCAGGCTTCTGGTTTACCGCAGGAGGCTGAAAACTCTCTCAACTCACTTAGAGTTGTAATCATATGATCTTTGCAGGTCATGTGCTGGCAGATCATCGACGGCTGAAGCTTGCACCTCCAAAGGCAAACCGGCAAGGGGCGTGTAGCTAGCAGGCTTCTATGCGCGGTTCGTGCATGGGAAGGCAGGTGTACTGAGTCTACACCATGGTTCTGGAACTGGCATATTGACCTTTCTTTAGGTCAGCGCTGATGCAGGGGTTTGCCTTCGCATCACAGCCAGTTTGTCAGGTGAGCCGCTCGTCTTGTTATGATGCTCGACGAGGATGCCTGGTGCTATCAAACATGCACGGTGGCTGCATTACTTTCGTCACTTGAAATGGGCAACCGTGAACAGCCTCATTATGCTGCATAAGGCAGGGCCTGACAGATGTCCTGTACTTGGGCATGAGGCTGGCCTGCGGCTTTCCTTCTGGTAACCGAGAATCGAAACCCTTTTGATCCGCGCTGCATACGGGCAGCTGTTGCAGTGTAACCTTGCATGCAGAGCCTTGTGCAGGCTGTGTCCTGTGTTTGTCTTTCCGGCAGTTGATGGGTCGCTCGCACCCCGGCATGTCATGTTAGAGGTTGGTCTGAAAGCTGCCGATGCGTAAGCATTCTCCCGTTTTGTGGCTTGGTTCTCCTAGGCCTATCCCATACTACTCGATTCTGGGGGCACTTCGCAGCATGCCTCTGAGTTTCAGTTGTATCCTGAGGTGGCGTGAGGTGTTTGGGCATCTCATGCCGGCCATGGGTCCTTATCGATGTTCTTGGAAGCGGCGGGTCGTTCGCGGATTTTGTTTCGTTCTCCCTGGCGGTTTTGAACAATGCTGGGCGAGAGCTTGCTAGTGTTGCTCACTACAATAGCATTTGCTGTAGCTACTGCTCTCCCATTGCCGCCCCAGCCACCACCACTCCCGCCGCTGGCGCCACAGCCATTGCTACCTCTGGCGCTATCATTAAGTTCATCTACCACTGCTACAGCCTCTTCCTGTTGTTGCTCTTCAACAGCAGCCACCAGCTCGCGTGTAGAAATTGTCGGGAGAGATGCAGAAGAAAGTGAGTGTATTCAGATTTTATTTGGACGGCAGATATCCGAGCAAATGAAGGTTCTGAGACACACAAGGCCTCTCAAAACAATCTGGCTCGTTCCAGTGTATAGCTTATCAGTCGAAATCTCGCCTTGCCACCTTAATAGTCCAAGACTCAGTATCCTGCATGGCCTTAATCGAGCGGCTTTGCTTGAGAACGGTCGCACCAGGTATATGGACAAAGCCGTTGTTCACAGAAATCAAGGTCAACACTGGTGAAGCATTGTTTTGCATACGTTCTGATACTATGTGAAAGCTCTTGAGGGGCAATGATCAAGAGTTGGTTTGCACATGAATGCAGTTTTTTGCTCGTAGAGTCTTTGCGCCACAGAAGGAAGTGCCTTCATCTCCCGGAAGAATTGGGTAGACTGATGCATTGCAGAGACGTGTGGCGAGTGAAAGAGATGATTGTTGTCGTTGCTGCTGCTGCTGCTGCTGCTGCTGCTGCTGTTGGTGTTGTTGCTTGTGGTGGCGGTGGTGGTGCTGGTGTCGTTGTGGATTTGCGGGCATGATTTACAGCTTGGATTATTGGGTGATTTTTCAGGAATAGGCATGACCAGGGATCAGTGGGCCAACCCTTGGATTAGTTGACAATCATTATTACGACTACTTTCAAGGCTGTTCCTCTACTTCATCATCGCCAATACAAAGTTCATCGTTGGATGAGAAATGCATCTTTCATTTCAACTCAATTGCCACTTTCCCGTATAGAATTTTCTGGAAAAGAGGAAAAGCCTCATCATCTGATGATTCTATCCTTCCTTGCTGATGCCACTACATTCTTCTCTTTGCTTTTGCAAGTTGTTTGGTTCTTGAAATTTTTTTACTTTCTGCAGAACATGGCATGCATTCGGTAAAGGGCGCGCTCTGTTTTTTCAACCGAAGCAAAGGTCTACAGCTTCCCTGCACCTTCCCAAGGTGCAGCTAGTTTGCCTACATGCTGTAGTCCCTTGTCATTGAAAAAGGCTGTCTGCAGGGCCTTCAATGACGGCAAGCCCTTCAACCCATGCCGATAAGCCTGAGAGCTCCACTGCTCCAACATAGTTGGATCTGACTTGCAGACTCTGAGGCAAAAGCAGTAAGTGTAGCTAGTGGCGACGAATGTGCTCCATCCACTACCTGAGCGAGGATGGCTGGATCTAGCTTCCCAGGTTCCGACCTGATTGTCCTTAAGACTACGAAGTTGAACAAGACGCAAGAATTCTGAGGCGTTGTGCTGCAGCCTTGGCTTTGAGACCAAGGTGTGCCACAACGTGGCAGGGTGTTGCTGAGTGGGCAGCCATTGGAAAAAGCGACGCCGAGATGGCAATAGTGGGAGTGAGAGAGCACCAGCAACAGCAGCAGCAGCAGCAGCAGCAGCAGCAGCAGCAGCAGTGGCTGCAGCTACAGATACAGCAACAGCTACTGCTACCGCTACTGTTACCGCTACCGCCACGGGTGCCGCTACCACCACCTGCGCAGCAACAATGACGATGCTTGCTTCAGACGCTTCGACTAGCAAGACCATAGGCAGCCATAAGCTCTTGCCTGATGCACAATTTGGTCATTTAATTTGTTTTGCTGCAGTGCAGCTTCATGATGGGAAGATGTTCATTGTCACGGACAGATGTGTGTAGCAGTACTCTTTACCCTGGGTTCCTAGGTCCTTTAGGCAGCGCTAATGACGTTGGCCAGGTAAAGGCGCACTGTCATGTGTTGTCGGTCTGCAGGCATTAACCCAAAGAAGCAGCCTTAACACACACAAAAAACAAAAAAACAGAAAAGCAAGTGGCACGCTTTGATGGTCGAACGCCCAGGGGCTGGTGCCCGGCGGGCTTCTCCAGCTTCTGAGAAGCCGCCGCTCTGCTTGAACGGAGGATTTTTTTGTGGTAAGTGCTGCTTTTAGAGCTGATCCAGGCAGTCCTTGCGTGACATCGCAGAAGAAGCCAGGGCAGGCCTTGAGCCGGTCAACAGCAATTTCGTCAATTTAAGATGCATTTCAGGCTGGCGTGGACCTGTTGTTGTCTTTCCGGAAGTGCCTCTGGCATCATTGATGACGAGCTTGGGGCTTGAGATTTGTTGAAGCGTGTGCATTGAAGGGTGCGCGCACAAATGGGACGGCAGTCCTGGCACGGAGCTTGAGCCGTAGGATACCTTCGCAAGTCTGACAGCCTTCAGTGCAGCTTTCAGGCCTGGAAGAAGAGCACCTTCCAGGGATTGCAAAGCTTTGAGCAGCCTGGCCCCTTCAACTCTTGATCAACATAAGGTTTAAGGGTGCTGTCGGACATCTGAGACCCGTGGGCACCGCGCTGGTGACCCTGGAGTACAACAAAGAAGGTGCATACACTCCTCATCATACTGTTGGAACCATCTTCAAGTTGATGCCTCAGAAGGTTTCTCAGAATGTGACATTCAGGAAAAGTGTGAATTCTCTGAGGCATATTCTGTTCCTTTGCATCCAGCCGTTCCACTCCGCTGCTGACTCAATGGCGCCGGCTGCATTGGTTCCAGATTTAAATATTTCTGCATCAGAGGTGAAGAGCACATGGCTTCCAGCCAGTGATGTGGCTGGGGTCTTCAGGTTTCTGCATGATGCCGAGTGTGAACCATCCCGTGCTTATGAGGCGACTGCTGTGAAGGGCAAGCCAACGACAGAGGCCATGGCACTTCTGAGGTCAGCCAGGCACTGAGGAAGTTGCACGCCTTTTCGTGGTGGTCAGTTTGATGCAAGGATTCAGACTGTCTCCCAGGTACTTGCCAGGATGATTTCGGGAGTCTGGCCCCTCAGCGGTTGGCTTCCTGCTTCCTACTGCATGCTGTGAGATCAAATTCAGGCCGTTGAAGTGGAATTACATGCTGAAAAACACCAAGAATTCATGGCGCGTAAATCTCAGTCCGTGTCTCTTGTTTGTCACTGCTCGCATCTGTCGCTTCTCCGTCTGGGAAATGTAGAGTTATCACACAGGTTCTGGGAGGCAGCCCAGCAGAAGGGTTACACAAAGGCATCCAAGAAGCTGCAGCCTGAGAGCATCAGTCTTGGACGGAGAGTAGCTGAGTAGCAGGGCAGCTCGCCTCTTGGATTGAGGTCATGAAACGGTGCCCTTCTGGCTCCCATGTTTGCGCCACGTTAAAAAGAGTCTTGTGGCAAGCGGGATATGACGCAGCAACGCAGGTCATGCATTAAGAATGCGGGTGGTTCATTGTTTCGTTCGTCTCCGGCCCTGCAGCTATCTGCTGGAAAAATCTAGCTAGCACCACTCATCATGCAGTCATCAGCTGTTCTTGGCATTTGCATGCATGAGGAAGTTCGTCAAGGCATCCATCCAAAATGCTTTGCAAAGATTGAATGGAGCTGGCACGCCTGCGCACTGCACTGGGCGAAGGCGCCTTCACCACAGATGGGTGCAGGTTCTGTGAAGCAACGTGCTGTTCTAGTTGCAGGTCAGCTTGAATTGGAGATTGACAAGCTCAGGGCGCTCCTGGGTGTCATTGAGGCACACGGACTCGTTGAGATCTGATTCTCCAGTTTTGCAGCGGAAAGTCAGGCTGATGTTCGTATCTTGCAGCAAGTCAAGCATGAGGAGGCTGGTGGGGGTTGAAGGATGATAGCTTGGAGCTTGAACGAGCCAGCTTGGGAGATGCCAAGGGCGAGCTTCGGGAATGTTCAGACGGAGAGTTCATCCTGCGAAGCCCGGAGCAGGAAGCCCAGATATCCGCAGCACATGCAGCGACTCTCGTGTTGCCAGAAAATGTTGGACCAACACAAGTCTGTAAAATCTGCGAAGCAGTTTTCTGTTGGCTCCTCCTAGACGGTCAGACACCAAGCTAGCTTGAGCATTACGTGTCAGTATGTGTCGGTAACAAGCATGAGGCGCCGGAAGCAAATGCTCTCCCAAGCAGTGAAGTCGTCCTCATCGCTTTCAGAGGCGCGTGAAGCATAAAGATTGTAGAACATGCGTTAGCTATTCAGATTGAATTGCTCTGGTCGATTGCGATCTTGACTATGGGGAACAAGGTACAGGCTCAGATCCCGCCCCTGCATCCGACTCACATGAAACAACCTGATGGGGCCGGTCCACATTCAGCTGTGCCACAAGGTCGGACAAGTGCTGAAAATCCAAACTTTTGGACAGCAGGGGTAGCAGGTCTACGCTCTGTGAAGAGTGCCCTGGATCTTCGTCAAGCCCCTGCTTCCGCTCCATGCCTTGGAGGTTGGATGCTCTGCGATGCTCGCCAGACTCTTTGGTTTGCAACTTGCTATGGCAGGTTTGGGAAGGAAGCCTCTGAGTCCAATTAGCTCGGCACATGCAGGCGATGCAAGGATATCAAAACGTGGATCAGTCAAATTGCTGTCTGTCGCGTTGCAGCGAAACCCCGATTTACAAGCTTGTCTTGAGAGGCTGTGGATCCCAGCCCATGCTATCAAGACATCCGGGCTCAGTGTCAGGCAGCTGGCACAGCTGGCAGAGTGCTGCAATTTTGTGATGTGCGAAGTGCTTCCAAGCAGGACCCAGACACGGGCTGGCACCAAGTGTGTCAAGCTCTGCAAGCAGTCCGGTACTGCTGCGGCCAGGCAAGGATCTTAGCAGATGATGCCGTGCGGTGCACGTGTACTTAAGCCTCAAGCAAGTGATCCTTCAGCCAGAAGACCTGGCAGCGCTCCTCAAAGCCAATTCGAAGAAGCTTGTCTTTGCCAACGCTGCAACTCGCGTGCACTTCTTTTGCTCATCTTGACCTTGCCCCTCTCAGTCAAGACCTGTAAACTCCATGCTCACAGCTCTCTCAAACAGGGTCTGGTGTGGCCAGTTCAGTGGGCTGGTTTCTGCCCAGATCGTACCTTGGACCAATCTTTTGGCAAGTTGGTTGGGCTTGTGCATGGCAACCCCTTTTGGATCCACAGATACAACATGTAGACCAACAGCCTGAGAAGCGTCAAAATCTAAAAAGGGCACTCATCAGGAAGAGGGGTTAAAAACAACAAGTAAGGCACAACGAGTAGATGCATTCAGGGGTCAACAACAACAGGGGGATCAGAGCAACAAATTGGCATTTATGGTATAACGCCCATCGCTCGCAGCTCCTGGACGCTGGAGATGGGGTATCACAACAACAAACAAAACCGGGGTGGCGGAAGCTGAAATTGAATCAATATGAGCGTATGGCCCCTTTACAATTGGAAATCCATATCAAACTGAGTACGTTTCATGTTGAACATCAATATGTAAAATTGATACGAACATTCAACAGCAACCCTTCATGCTTCATGATTTCAGCACTTTTCATAATTTTTGGCCAAGTGTTCATAATGCTCAATGATTTTCTGTCATTTCCGCATTTTTCTATCATACATTGTCATCATTGTTCATCCTTCTCATGGCAGTTCATCATGTCTTTTTTTTATCGTTTGCTTTATTTTCTCCACAGTCCAGCATTGTCATGCTGCATCACTTTTCATGATTTTAAATCAAATCCACATGCATTTTCATATTCTTTCGTTTCTCATCTTTCAAGCATGTGTTTTGCACACCACTGTTCATCATCTTTCAGTGTTTGAATGACTCTTTCTGGTTATGTCTCGTATTTTAGCATTTGCACAGTTTTTCATGAGTTGGGCAGTCGCGCCACATTTCAGTATTGTTATGAGTTATGACTTTGTTATACATGTCATCGTTTTTGCAAGTTGTTCGTCATTCTGCGTCATTCTTCGATTACTGTTCAAGGTCTTCGATCTTTTCTATTGTTTCTCATTTCTTTCATTGTCAACACTTTTCACAATGTAGCATCATTCTTCATGACATGTCAGCATGTTCGCCATGTTCTGTCATTTTTTGTTCGAATCATTTTCCGACTATTTCATCGTTTTTGGCATCTTTCTCGTTATATTCATCACTTTTCAATATTTCATAGTTTGTCATGATATTTTCTCATCATCAGAATTTGACCATTCTTTGAGACATGGCATGTTCTCAGCCATTTCTTGTTATTTGCGTCATATTTCGTTATCTTGCATCATTCTTCATCATGTCCCACCATCACTCATTATTTCCATCATTTCTTTCATATTTCATTACATTTCTTCATGTTTCATCATCTTTCTTTCATCAGTTTGCATCATGTTCAGCAATTTGATGTTTTTTAATGATATTTCATCATGTTCGCATTTTTCGACATTTTCCACAGCTTTCAAGATCTAACACGATTTTGTGAGTTCCCTCACCTTCGTAATTTCATCATATTGATTCCTGGTTGTTTGATCCTCCGGATCCGTAAATCTCCATGATGAAAACCACCATGTGTTTTTGGTCCTTATTGTTTGATACTTATTTGTTTTTTTGATCATCCGCTTCCTTTAATCATCGAGAGCAGAAGGGTTTGCAAAGGCTTGGGGGTGGAGCACAAAGCGATGAAGATAACCAACTCTTGATACAGCAAGAGTGGCTTTCCTCGAAATACAGGGGAGGAGTCATAGGAGGTCTCTTGATGACTACTGACTTTGTCCGCGTCTCATATGATCTGCTGGGCCTGTTGATCTGCTCTTGCCATCATAAGTATTATCACCATCCTTATCGCTATCATCGTCACCATCAATACCTTCTTTCAGGCTCGGTAAGTGGCAATGGCGGACGTCGGCAAAGCATCAATAGTGCCCAAAGGTTCTTGTGGAGAGGTACTCGTAGCTGATCCTTGGACAGAAGGTGCGAGGTATACACAGGCTTGTTGTGCAGTGCGTTGCGGAGCGTTTTGGAACTCCCGCGTCCTGGCTTGACAGCAGCTAGAAGCTGCCGCACATTATCGTGCTTTAATTGGCGCGAGAACCGTCACTTGAGCTGCTGCAGACGTCCTTGCTGGTGCCGCTTGGTTTTCGTGCAGGCAATGGGCTTGCGCTGGCACCGTCTCCAGCGCGCCCTGGGCTTCCAGGCCATGTCCATTCTCAAGCTGCAGAGTGTTATGTCTCAAGCCAGTTTGCTACAGAGAACATGTACCTAGCTAACGCAGGCTCTGCTGTGTCGTGGAAGGGCAGCGCATGGGCGCCGCAGGCAGCTAGTGAGCTGCCACACTCACCAGGCCAGATTCAAAAGCTTGGTTCCAAGCTCAAGAATTCGATCTGATTCTGGGAAAGTCGCAGCTGTTGTAGGCAACTTGCAGTGTCAAAGGAATTCCAACTTGATATGGGATCAAAAAACGAGATGCGCGCACTCGCATCAAGGCAGCGATAAGGCGACAAGTAACTTTGGGTCTTTCTTCCGTCATTTGCAGCTTTAAGAGTTGAAAGTACAGGTTGTGGCAACCGGCCCTCAACCAACAGCTCGATCCTCTCCAGAGTGCAGCCAGGCTGAGCTTGTTGCGCCTGTAGTGCTTTGAATGAGCGATCTGCATTGCGGGGAGGCTCGAGCACCTCAGCCTTTCTGGCCGCTAACACCCCAAGCGGCACATCCCTGCCACAGTCAGGCAAGGTTTGGGCAGCCGAGCTGTTGATATTGCGAGGTTGCATGTGGAATCTATGCAGCTTGACAGTTTCAGTTGTCTGTCGCAGAATCTCAGTGTTGTGGAAGCCCTGGCCTTTGCAACAGACTGTTGTTACCAACACGGGACCAAGTGTTGGGGAACCCGCCTGGGATAACCGAGAAACAGCCTTTCTATGAGTGATGCAAATTGCTACACCACAACTGCCGGTGAGGCCATTGCCCTTGCCACCACCGCCCCCCTGCCGTCACCAGCATCAGCATCAGCACCAGCATCTTGAAGGCATGAGACACAGCGGACCGTCGGGCCCCGATCTGTGGCTCTAATCTACAAGGATATGAAACAGAAAACCGATGATCAAATGGAGCTTGTAAGCATGCAATCTCAATTTGATGCTGCATGTCGGCTAACCCCCCAAATAGCCGAACTAAGCCCATGTGTGATCCCTTCCCTGCGTGCCTTTTTTCCCCTGAAGATTCAGGAGTCCTGCGTAGGTCCCAGTCTCGTTTGAACAAACTGTATTTCTTCAACTGCGTTTAAGTTTAAGGGAGTTAATGGCTTCTTCAGTATACTGCTTCCTTCAGCTTTGCTTGCAAGGCATAGCAATTCCTGGATGCGGCATACACCG